AAGGTGCTGTTAGTGTGCAGCAATATTCCAGCCTAGACAGAACAAGAGACCTGAAGAGTGTCATCATGGGCTTGGCATCCCTGGTTTTGAAGGTTCTTATTATCCATCCTGTCATTATTCTAGCAGATGCGATTGATACAATGTTATGGTCCTTGAAAGTGAAATCCTCTGACATGATCACCCCCAGGTCTTTGACATTATTTTTTTGCTCTATTATGTGGTTGGAATTTGTTTTATACTCCAATGAAATTTTAATTTCCTCACATTTACCATATCGGAGTAATTTGAATTTCTCATTATTGAACTTTATACTGTTTTCTGCAGCCCATTTATAGATTTGGTTGATGTCCACCAGGAGTCTTGCAGTGTCTTCAATGGAGGACACTGTCATGAAAATTTGGGTGTCATCTGCAAAGCAAGACACTGCACTGTGGCTTATAACCTTGTCTATGTCTGATATGAGAATGAGGAACAAGATGGGGGCGAGTACTGTACCTTGTGGAACAGAGCTTTTCACCGTTGCCGCCTCAGACTTTACTCTGTTGACTACTACTCTTTGTGTTCTATTTGTTAGGAAATTATTGATCCATCTACTGACTTTTCCTGATATTCCTTTATCACGCATTTTGTGCGCTATTACACCATAGTCACACTTGTCAAAGGCTTTTATGAAGTCTGTGTATATTACATTTGCATTTTGTTTGTTTTCTAGAGCATCCAGAGCATCCTTGCCATAGTGGTCCAGTACTTGAGACAGACAGGAGCGACCTGTTCTAAAAACATGCTGTCCTGGGTTGTGTAACTGATGGATATCTAGATGGATGGTGATCTTGCTTCTTAGAACCCTTGCAAAGATTTTTATGATATGAGATGTTAGCGCTATCGGTCTGTAGTTCTTTGTTATTTCTTTACTGCCCCCTTTGTGGAGTGGGGCTGTCTGTTGTTTTTAGTAACTGTGAGACGACCCCCGTGTCCATGCTCCCTCTCCACAGGATGTTAAAAGCACATGATAAGAGCTTCTTGCAGCTCTTGATGAACGCGGAGTTCCATGAATCTGGGCCTGGGGCAGAGTTTACCTGGAGAGAGTTCCGGGGGTCAACGCCCCCACGGCCCGATCTGTGACCAGGCCTCCTGGTGGATCAGAGCCTGATCAACCAGGCTGTTACTGCTGGCTGCACACAAACCAACGTACGAGGCACAGCCCGGCTGGTCAGGAACCGACTTTAGGTGCTTGTCCAGTGCCAGGGGTCTGTTGGTAATCCCCCTTATGTATGCTGGGAGGCAGTTGAACAGTCTCGGGCCCTGACACTTATTGTATGGTCTCTTAACGTGCTAGTGACACCCCTGCTTTTCATTGGGGGGATGTTGCATCGTCTGCCAAGTCTTTTGCTTTCGTAGTGAGTGATTTTCGTGTGCAAGTTCGGTACTAGTCCCTCTAGGATTTTCCAGGTGTATATAATCATGTATCTCTCCTGCCTGCATTCCAGGGAATACAGGTTCAGGAACCTCAAGCGTTCCCAGTAATTGAGGTGTTTTATCTCCGTTACGCGCTCCGTGCAGGTTCTCTGTACATTTTCTAGGTCAGCAATTTCACCTGCCTTGAAAGGTGCTGTTAGTGTGCAGCAATATTCCAGCCTAGATAGGACAAGTGACCTGAAGAGTGTCATCATGGGCTTGGCATCCCTAGTTTTGAAGGTTCTCATTATCCATCCTGTCATTTTTCTAGCAGATGCGATTGATACAATGTTATGGTCCTTGAAGGTGAGATCCTCTGACATGATCACTCCTAGGTCTTTGACGTTGGTTTCCTCGTGTTTACCATATCTGAGTAATTGAAATTTCTCATCGTTGAACTTCATATTGTTTTCTGCAGCCCACTGAAAGATTTGGTTGATGTCCGCCTGGAGCCTTGCAGTGTCTGCAATGGAAGACACTGTCATGCAGATTCGGGTGTCATCTGCAAAGGAAGACACGGTGCTGTGGCTGACATCCTTGTCTATGTCAGATATAAGGATGAGGAACAAGATGGGAGCGAGTACTGTGCCTTGTGGAACAGAGCTTTTCACCGTAGCTGCCTCGGACTTTACTCTGTTGACTACTACTCTCTGTGTTTTGTTAATGAGGAAATTATAGATCCATCAACCGACTTTTCCTGTTATTCCTTTAGCACGCATTTTGTGCGCTATTACGCCAGGGTCACACTTGTCGAAGGCTTTTGCAAAGTCTGTATATATTACATCTGCATTCTTTTTGTCTTCTAGTGCATCTAGGACCTTGTCATAGTGATCCAATAGTTGAGACAGACAGGAGCAACCTGTTCTAAACCCATGTTTCCCTGGGTTGTGTAACTGATGGGTTTCTAGATGGGTGGTGATCTTGCTTCTTAGGACCCTTTCAAAGATTTTTATGATATGGGATGTTAGTGCTATCGGTCTGTAGTTCTTTGCTGTTGCTTTACTGCCCCCTTTGTGGAGTGGGGCTATGTCTGTTGTTTTTAGTAACTGTGGGACGACCCTCGTGTCCATGCTCCCTCTCCATAGGATGGTAAAGGCTCGTGATAGGGGCTTCTTGCAGTTCTTTATGAACACGGAGTTCCATGAGTCTGGCCCTGGGGCAGAGTGCATGGGCATGTCATTTATCGCCTGTTCGAAGTCATTTGGCGTCAGGATAACATCAGATAGGCTTGTGTTAACCAAATTCTGTGGCTCATAAAAAATTAATTTTGATCTTCGACTTTCAGTCTGGTTAGCGGCTTGCTAAAAACTGAGCCATATTGGGACTTGAGTAGCTCACTCATTTCCTTGCTATCATCTGTGTAGGACCCATCTTGTTTAAGTAGGGGCCCAATACTGGACGTTGTTCTCGACTTTGATTTGGCATAGGAGAAGAAATACATTGGGTTTCTTTCGATTTCATTCATGGCTTTTAGTTCTTCCCGCAATTCCTGACTCCTATAAGATTCCTTTAGCTTAAGTTCGATGTTTGCTATTTCTCTGACCAGTGTCTCCCTACGCATTTCAGATATATTGACCTCTTTTAGCCGCTCTGTTATTCTTTTCCGTCGCCTGTAAAGGGAGAGCCTGTCTCTTTCTATTTTACATCTACTCCTCCTTTTTCTTAGAGGAATAAGCCTTGTGCATACATCGAGTGCCACCAAGTTAATCTGTTCTAGGCATAAGTTGGGGTCTGTGTTGCTTAGTATATCTCCCTAGCTTATATCGGTTAGGACTTGGTTTACTTGGTCCCACTTTATGTTTTAGTTATTGAAGTTGAATTTGGTGAATGCTCCCTCGTGACTAATCTCATTATGTCGGTCCGGCTCCGCGCATACATGTCTGAACCTCAATTATGTTGTGATGTGAGTATATTGTTTTTGATATGGTGACATTTCGTATCAGATCATCACTGTTAGTGAAGATGAGGTCTAGTGTATTCTCCAGTCTAGTAGGCTCTATTATTTGCTGGTTTAAATTGAATATTGTGCAGAGATTTAAAAGCTCGTGTGAGTGTGAGTTTTCATCAGAGCTGCCTCCTGGTGTTATTACTGCAACAATATTATTTGCTATATTCCTCCATTTTAGGTGCCTTAAGTTGAAATCCTCCAGGACCAAGATGTTGGGTGCAGGAGCTGGAAGATTTTCCAGACAGTGGTCAATTTTTAACAGCTGTTCCTGGAATTGCTGGGATGTTGCATCCGGAGGCTTGTAGACTACCACAATGACTAGGTTTTGGTTCTCGATCTTTACTGCTAAAACTTCCACTACATCATTTGAGGCATTAAGCAGTTCTGTGCAAACAAGTGACTCTGCAATGTACAGGCCAGCCCCCCCTTTTGCCTGTTCACTCTGTCACATCTGTATAGGTTGTAACCTGGGATCCATATTTCGTTGTCCAAGTGATCCTTTATGTGAGTCTCAGTGAAAGCCGCGAACATTGCCTTTGCCTCTGCAAGCAGTCCACGGATGAAAGGTATTTTGTTGTTTGTTGCTGGCTTTAGACCCTGTATATTTGCAAAGAAGAATGTCATCGGACTGGTGGTATTGTTGGTACTGGGGGGGGGATTTTTTTTTTTCCGGCATTAGTATCTGTATCTGTTGGTTTGGAGTGGAGGCTATCGACTGTGGTTCCACTCCAGGAATGACTGGATTTGGTGTACGATTTCTGCCATTTCCTGCCAGTTGCATGGGCATGTCATTTATCGCCTTACTGAAGTCATTTGGCATCAGGATAATATCAGACTGGTGTCTCTCTCTCTCTCTCTCTCTCTCTCTCTCTCTCTCTCTCTCTCTCATAAAAAATTCATTTAGGTCTTTGACTCTCAGTCTGGTTAGTGGCTCACTAAAACCCGAGTCATATTGGGACTTGAGTAGCTCACTCATTTCCTTGCTGTCATCTGTGTAGGACCCATCCCATTTAAGTAGGGGCCCAATACTGGATGTTGTTTTAGACTTTGATTTGCCATAAGAAAAGAAATACTTTGGATTTCTTTCAGTTTCATTTGTGGCTTTTAGTTCTTCTCACGTTTCTTGACTCCTGTAAGATTCCTTTAGCTTTAGTTCAGTGTTTGCTATTTCTCTGACCAGTGTCTCTACATATTGCAGATATATTGGCCTCTTGTAGCTGCTCTGTTATTCATTGCCTTCATATGCATAGGGAGCGCCTTTCCCCAAAATTCGTCAAGGTTAGGTCCATGGAGGTGGTACAAATTTTGGTACCATGAATAACACTATATTTCCTGTCCAAATTATTAAGATGCTTTTTTTGGCAATCTATAAACTGCTCTCAGCTGCTTAATACTGATACTCAGAATCCTATTAATTTAGAGCTTTTGCACCAAGCAAAAGGATGATGGACATGAAGACATAACATGAATATTCTAAGCTATCCACTATAAAAAAAAAAAGGTCTTCAGTTAAAAGTTGTATAATCAAGTCAGATGGATTATGAAGCAAGCAAATTCCAAGGTTAGACTGTACAGAATTAAAAGTTAAAGGCCTTACCTCATTCATGCGTTCCCAAGCCTTGTCCAGTGGTAGACTGGCAAGATTTACAGGAGATGGGCTGCTTGCAGAATTGGAAATAGAGGAAGTAGCCTGAGGCACAGTAGTCAAGCCTCCTGCAGATGATGGAGTCCCACTACCTAACACTATACCAGGTACAACAGTCAATTCTCCAAGACCCGACACTGGCAGAGTCACTGGTAACAAATTTTATTGTTAATGGTTTGCGATAGATTTGTCAGCATTGTTAAATTCTAATAATAATCTATTTTAATATATATTTTTTTTGCAAATGTAACTGAAAAAGCAAATCCATAACTGAATAGTGCATACTATACAAACTGCTTCACATGCTCTTCAATTTTGGAAGCACCTTTTCAATTGAATTTCCAAAAAAATTGCACTATACAGAGATACTTTATAAGAAAGCATATAATTATGTTATTTGATAAGGTGCTTCCTATAGATATTTTACTTCCTGCTGGATACCATTAAAACTTCAGCATTGGTAAACAGAGTAACCATCCTGCCTCACTGAACTGTGCACTAGAGATCTGTAAATACCTTTTTTTTCTTTCTTAATTTGATTCTCAGAAACTGGAACTGATGGGATCATGACAGAAATGTTAAAAGCAGGGGGGATAGTGTTGGAGTGGTTGGTACTTTTGTTTAATAAATGTATGAAAGAGGGGAAGGTACCTAGGGATTGGCAGAGAGCATGTATAATCCCTTTATATAAAGGGAAAGGGGACAAAAGAGATTGTAAAAATTATAGAGGAATAAGTTTACTGAGTATACCAGGAAAAGTATACGGTAGGGTTATAATTGAAAGAATTAGAGGTAAGACAGAATGTAGGATTGCGGATGAGCAGGGAGGCTTCAGAGTGAGTAGGGGATGTGTAGATCAAGTGTTTACATTGAAGCATATATGTGAACAGTATTTAGATAAAGGTAGGGAAGTTTTTATTGCATTTATGGATTTAAAAAAGGCATATGATAGAGTGGATAGAGGAGCAATGTGGCAGATGTTGCAAGTATATGGAATAGGTGGTAAGTTACTAAATGCTGTTAAGAGTTTTTATGAGGATAGTGAGGATCAGGTTAGGGTGTGTAGAAGAGAGGGAGAATACTTCCCGGTAAAAGTAGGTCTTAGACAGGGATGTGTAATGTCACCATGGTTGTTTAATATATTTATAGATGGGGTTGTAAAAGAAGTAAATGCTAGGGTGTTTGGGAGAGGGGTGGGATTAAATTATGGGGAATCAAATTCAAAATGGGAATTGACACAGTTACTTTTTGCTGATGATACTGTGCTTATGGGAGATTCTAAAGAAAAATTGCAAAGGTTAGTGGATGAGTTTGGGAATGTGTGTAAAGGTAGAAAGTTGAAAGTGAACATAGAAAAGAGTAAGGTGATGAGGGTATCAAATGATTTAGATAAAGAAAAATTGGATATCAAATTGGGGAGGAGGAGTATGGAAGAAGTGAATGTTTTCAGATACTTGGGAGTTGACGTGTCGGCGGATGGATTTATGAAGGATGAGGTTAATCATAGAATTGATGAGGGAAAAAAGGTGAGTGGTGCATTGAGGTATATGTGGAGACAAAAAATGTTATCTATGGAGGTGAAGAAGGGAATGTATGAAAGTAGAGTAGTACTAACACTCTTATATGGGTATGAAGCATGGGTTGTGAATGCAGCAGCGAGGAGGCGGTTGGAGGCAGTGGAGATGTCCTGTCTAAGGGCAATGTGTGGTGTAAATATTATGCAGAAAATTCGGAGTGTGAAAATTAGGAGGCGTGGAGTTAATAAAAGTATTAGTCAGAGGGCTGAAGAGGGGTTGTTGAGGTGGTTTGGTCATTTGGAGAGAATGGATCAAAGTAGAATGACATGGAGAGCATATAAATCTGTACTGGAAGGAAGGCGGGGTAGGGGTCGTCCTCGAAAAGGTTGGAAGGAAGGGGTAAGGGAGGTTTTGTGGGCGAGGGGCTTGAACTTCCAGCAGGCATGCATGAGCGTGTTCGATAGGAGTGAATGGAGACGAATGGTATTTGGGACCTGACGATCTGTTGGAGTGTGAGCAGGGTAATATTTAGTGAAGGGATTCAGGGAAACCGGTTATTTTTATATAGTCGGACTTGAGTCCTGGAAATGGGAAGTACAATGCCTGCAGTCTAAAGGAGGGGTTTGGGATATTAGCGGCTTGGAGGGATATGTTGTGTATCTTTATACGTATATGTTTCTAAACTGTTGTGTTCTGAGCACCTCTTCAAAAACAGTCATTATGTGTGAGTGAGGTGAAAGTGTTTCATCATCATTAAAGTATTTTCTTTTTGGGGATTTTCTTTCTTTTTGGGTCACCCTGTCTCAGTGGGAGATGGCCGACTTGTTAAAAAAAAAAAAATCACTGCTAGGGGTTTGGATATCTAACAGGCTTGTGTGAGCATGTTAGAGTGGAGTGAAGTGAAGTGTTTTTTTTATGCTTTGACACATGCTGTTGGAGTGTGAGCAAGATAATGCTCATGAAGAGATTAAAGAAAATCAGTTAGCCGGACTTAGTTCCAGAGGTAGGAAGTACAGTGCCTACATTCTAAAAGAAGGGTGGATGAGGATGTTATGATTTGGAAGGTCATCTTCTGGCAAAACAAGTGATTGAATGATTAACATTCAAAGTGTTTTCTTTTTCGTCAGTCAACCTACTTTGATGGAAGATGGCCAGTGCTAAAATATTAAAAACACTACTATATATTTATTTATTCTTGTGAAAGATTACCCTTATTATGACATGTAATAGGTATACCTGTAGGTGTAGCAGAAGTATGGTCCTCTGATACGCCATGCTTAAGGGCTTTTTCAGTATCCAAAAAAAATCTGTCCCTTCTTTTCCGCTTGTATGGACGATGCAAACGAACTGAACCAGCCTGAAATTCAAACCCAAGAGATATCATAAAACATACTATACTGTGATTCACTGCTGCATCTAGCTACTGGTGCTTAACACACTAATTCGTGTAGAGTGATGGCTGTGAAAAATTGTTTTGCTTTAGTTTAATATTTAATATTTAGTTTAATATTTAATATTGCACTAAAATTGTATATATCAACTCTTACGCTAATTCTGCTCCAAATGCAATACAGTGGAACCTCAAATATCGAACTTTCTTCGGTCCAGAAGGCTGTTCGAGTGCCTTTACCAAATGAATTTATTCCCATCAGGAATAATGTAAATTAGATTAGTCCATTTCAGACCCTCAAAAATACACTTATAAAAGCACTTACAAAAATACATTTACATAATTGGTCGTGTTGGGAGCAGTTCGATTTTTGAGGTTCCACTGTACTTAACTGCATAATTATAATAAACAATAAATTGTTATTATTAATGCTGATATTATTATTACTCATATTATTATTTACCTTAGATTCAATTATTATTATTGTTGTATTCAAGTGGAAACACTAAACCCATAGAGGCCATATAGTGACTGGGGAATAGATATTATATAGGAAAAGGGAGGATATCTCCAGTTGCTTAAGTCAAGAGGTATTCACTATCACCAAGGCTCATTTCCCGTCTTGCAGGACTCTTAGACTAGATATACTTACAGCTGCATCATCATCAAGACAAGCACCGCAGGAACAGGATGTAGCATGAACCTGCAGAAAACCATCTTCTATTAGGGTCAGTAAACTTTGACCCTGGAATCTGAAGAAAGAAAACGAAAGAACTACATAATTACAGAAACTTACATGAAACATTCCTTCAAATTCCCCGTACTGACTTTATATTCACAGCTCTCCCAGCAACGTCTGCGAAGTTACAGCTCTATCCTTTCCCTAGCAGGGTTTCTTGATAGGCTCCTAAATCTTGTACCGTATAACAATGCACTCAAGTGATTAAAAATTGCATTTAAAAATTATTGAAAACATCACCAACATTAAATGAACTGTTGCATCCTTACCTAATGCTTCTCTTCCAGTCCTTACTAGCTGATCTTCCACAGTGAGCCTCAAACTCGGTGGGTGTATACCACTGCTTCCCAAGTTGTATACATTTTCCACGTGAACCTGACCCAAACTTGCTCTTTACTAATTCTGCAATAGTTTTCTGAAAGTGAATGAAGCATTACTAGATGGAGAGTCATTATGGGAAATACCAGCACAAGGATTATTATTAATATAACAGGTATGAAGTAGACTACAGCAGCTGACTTTAGCCACCCACATTACTAAGGCAAAACAGTACTGACAGTTTAATCAGGGGGTAGAATATAGCTCTGACAAGAAGCACATGTTGTTTGACCTCGGGACAGTCATATTCATAACTGATCTTCTTGACCTACATCAAATTCAGATGTTTTTGACAATATTTTTGAAACAGTAGATAGGGATCTTTGAGAATCTTCTGGTATTGAGTTCCATATTCATTATCATTCAAAGATATATGAAATGTCTTAAGACTTCAAGAGAAGCTGAGTCCTCTCAACAGAGGGATGTTCCAAGAGAACAATACTAATTGTATAACAATCACTGTATCAAATAAATAACAAAAAAGGCACAATACCGTGACTGGAACGATACACAAATAACCCGCACATAAAAGAGACAAGCTTACGACGACGTTTCGGTCCGACTTGGACCAAGTCGGACCGAAACGTCGTCGTAAGCTTCTCTCTTTTATGTGCGGGTTATTTGTGTACTGTATCAAATATTATTTTACTCTGTTACCCATATAATCTTTGTGACCATACAATCTAGTTGTTTCCTAATAATAAAATGAGTGTCTAGTCTATGCTCTACAGGTGAAATTTATTAAGAAAAGAAACCATAAATTAATTACAGTACAGCTTCTCCTCACTTGGCAGAGTTCCGTTCCTAAGACCATGTTGGTAAATAAATTCATCACTAAGTGAGGAGCATACTATAATGGTAGTGGATTTGTGCCAACCATCTTTGATATTGTTTTAGTGTCGTCTTTGAACCATTTGCTATAACATTTCTGGTATATTTTTAAATGTTTATACAGCAGTGTACTGTATTTTTTTTTTTTTTAACAAGTTGGCCGTCTCCCACTGAGGCAGGGTGACTTTATATTGTAATATAAACAGAATATTGCAATATAAACAGCCTTGGTGGGAATCGGCCAGTGTGATAAATAAAAACAGCTCTAATATACATTATTTAGGTATGCATACTCGTCAGAGAGCCTGTCGTATGTCCAAGTCGTTGGTAAATGAGTATGTCGTTAAGTGAGAAGAGGCTGTACTATAGTACGTATTGTATTATCTTCACTATGACAATCTGCCCTGAATGAACAGAGCCACAAAGATAAAATACAACAGATGCTACCCTGTCTCTAATAACCTATCATAATAAATCTTATAAAAAAATACAAAATGCCACATTGTCATTTATGCAAACATCAATTATAATTTCAATGATAGAATACTAGACAATAGTTTCCATTCAGTGATGTGTCCGGACCTTGCATCTGACTATGAGAACTGGTTCCCTCGCTGCCTCACGCCAGTCGGGTTCTAATTGAAAGGTGGTTATGGTTGTTGCTTTGCCATCTCCCAGTAAGGTGGTGGTGGTAGATGGTGTCACTTGACTGTTAGCAGTGGTAGAGCAGCTTTCCTGGTGGTATAAGAGAATTATTATTATTACTATTATATTTATATGAAGTGTTGAACATTAATGGGTCATTCAGTACAGGGTGTGACTGAGCTTTGCTTCAACCACCATTAATTTTTCTTTAAGTACTCCATGTATATAAGTAAGTTTATTCAGGTATACACACAGTTAAACAGATTATCATAAATAGCAGCATATGTGTAGAGAACCTAGGATAACCCAAAAAAAGTCGGACAAAGTGACTATTTCCATATACGTACATACAATCTTTTTGGGATGGCAACAGGGTCACCATCATTGTAAACCCTTTAATTTTTTAGCGGTAATATAGTAACTTTCTCAAAGGCTTCTTGGCAGTGATTAAATAAGTTTATTTAGATACAGGTGACATAAATACAGTTACACAAATTATGATACATAGTAACATATGTGTAAATTACCTACCAGTATAACCCAAAAGTTTCAATTTGCCAGTTATATTAAACATTGATTTCTAGGTAATAACTGAAGAATGCCTCATCTGATCGGCTTCAAACCTTTAATATGCTGGAGTTTAACTAAGAGAGGTTTAGATTGATTTTGGACAATATAGGTGGTGACTTCTTAATTTTATATAAGAAATTTGAATTATTATTATTATTATTATAATCACGGGGGAGCGCTAAACCCGTAGGATTATACAGCGCATATGTTGGGGGGGAGGGATGGAAGATATTTAGGCTTAATTCAGGGAACCGAATCACAGATCCAATTCCCTAGATCAAGAGCCCCTCACCAGCGTCAAGGACCCTCCCTTGAGGGGAAGAAATTTGGAACATTCAAAAGAAAAATTTTGATATATGGCTGCTCCTTCGGGGATTTGGGACATTAATTACAGTTCAAATTTAACATTAAGAAGTTGATTTTACAGCTAACATTTTTTTTGTGTGCAAATGATGATTATTATTATTAATTATTATTATTATTATTATTATTGGTTCAGCGCTTTTTTATAATAATTATTATTATTATTATTATTTATTATTATTATAAACCGGTAGGGTCATACAGCGTCTGAGGGACTCTGGTTCGATCCAAGGAAGGGAAGGGCAGCGCCAATACCTTGGATCAAGGGCCCTCACTCTTGAGTGGAGGAATAAAATAGAACAAAAAACAGTTGTATGGAGTGCAATAATTACTGTAGCGACGACAGCAGCGTCGTGCGACAACGTGACGTCACCGCCATGCAGCGTGACGTCACCACGAGAGGCACCCATGACGTCACTAGGGGTGGCAATGACGTCACGGAGAGGCCCGACGATGACGTCATCTAAGGGTCGAGTGATGACGTCATTGAGGTGGTTATGGGTGGTGGTGGTGACGATCTTGACGAGGGAGACCGACTGTGGCCGAGCAGAGCCGACTGTTGTCAGCTGTGGCACACCCACCACCTTGTTGTTACTGCCACACTCTCCCACTCCTCCCTCCATGCTTCACTACGCCTCTCAACCCCACCAAATGGGGCCATCCGCCAACTATTCCACGGGAAATATATCCACTAGACGGTGTGTGGCGTACAAAAACATGGCTATCGAAAACTGCTGCGATTTTCTGGTTCCAATAATGAAGATGACTTTCTGTTTTTGTTGGCAAATACGAAATTTATATAGTAAGGATATGCTATAATATGTATTTAATAAAATGGTAACAATTATAAAGCCTTCTGTCTGCCAGTTAGTGTCCTAGATAATGATTTATATTATTTTAGAACAACATACTCTGTTTACGTCTCAATTTTCTGTAATGTTAAATTTGATTAATAAAGGAGTAACTAAGGTAAATCTGTAAGTACGGCAAATAAGCTCATTTGAGGCTGTACTTACAAATATTTTTACAGACAATTGCCTCTCAAAGAAGGTTATTGATGATGGTAAGGTGCTCTTGATCTAGGGAATTGGACCACTGCTCCAGTTCCTTGAATCAAGACTAAATGTTGTCCATTCCCTGAAGCACTACGACCCCTATGGGTTTAGTGCTCCCCATGAATGTGATAATGTTTACAGACAACTGTTTAAATTTTATACATTATTTGTATTACATGATTATTCATAAGATAACCTTCATTCAGGAAATCTACAAATGATATTACAGACTAGTGATTCTCCATTATTATTATTATTATTATTATTATTATTATTATTATTATTATTATTATTATTATTATAATCAAGGGGGAAGCGCTAAACCCGGAGGATTATACAGCGCCTGGGGGGGGGGATGTGGAAGGCATTCAGGCTTAATTTGGGGAACTGGAGCACAGATCCAATTCCCTAAATCAAGAGCCCCTCACCAACATCAAGGAACCTTCCTTGAGGGGGTGATTCTCCAGATATGCAGGTATACTTTAGTAACGAAATGTGTAGATTTAACACCTATATACTGAGAGATTTATGTTTCTTAGTGTATATATGGTGAGAGTTTACTTTAATTTCTCTCTCTCTCTCTCTCTCTCTCTCTCTCTCTCTCCTCTCTCTCTCTCTCTCTCTCGCTCTCTCTACCTGAAGGATTAAAATATTCTTGACTGGTGGTGCACAAGTGACATACAGTTAACCCTCGCATAGCACAAATCTCTGAAGCCCATAAATAATAATATCTTATTTCTACAAGTACATGTACAAGATATACAGGCCGAGCTGACATCAATCAATCAATCAATCAAGTTTATTCTCTATAAGGATTACAATGCGGGGTTTACAGATTTTGGATATTGTGTGGTTTACATGTTATAAAATACTAATTACAGAGGGGGCCACTAGGACACCTAGCATGGCTATTCATTTCGGGCGGACTTAGATAAATTCTAAACTTTAAATTCTTACAGATTATGGTATTAAGGCTAAGTGACTACATTATAGTTTGTGAGTTTAGCAAAGTGAATGCTTTTGTTTTGGCACAATACATAGTGTCTTTATTGGAGTATCATAGGCAAACTTATGACTAGTTAGGATTCATTATTTTAAGATTAAGATTCGTATTTCTGTGTTTATAGTCAGTGGGTGAGTGAGTGTAAGTTAGATTTAGATTTTGCCACCGAAGTGGCTAGTTTATTGTGCACCCCATATCCATCCTGTGGACGGTAGCGCGAGAGCATATGGATACACAAAAGGCCTAGGAACTAGGCCCCAAAGGGTTAACAGGAATACATATGGATTTATATCTACATATCTATAGTTCACTTATCTGTTACAAGCAAATTTAGGAAATTTGCTTAGTATATCTGGTATCTTATTTTCATTAATAAGATATCTTGACATGTCACATAGGTTATTATACTGTCTGTCTCTGTATTCCTCAATAAAGTGGACAATTAAGCACATAGTGTTCAAGAGAGTGACCATATGCCTGATTACATAATTTATATTTAGTTTGATCATCATCTGTGTGTCCCAACTGCCAAAGTACTTGTAACCAAGCCTAAGCCTGGCACTACAACATCAGTTAGTACTTGTAACCAAGCCTAAGCCTGGCCACTACAACATCAGTCAGTCTGTTCACATTGCAAGTTGCTCCATAAACATACTTATCTACGTTCATGTTATCATAGTGGGTTATAGATCTACTCAGGCTTCTAACTGCATTCCTATAACAATCATAAATAACAAAAAGGCACAATACCGTGACTGGAACGATACACGTCGTCGTAAGCTTCTCTCTTTTATGTGCGGGTTATTTGTGTATAACAATCATTTTCACTATTTACTTCTCTCCTAATATTATTCCTAATGCTAGACACAGTCATACCAAAGTTATATTCTACATTCTCCTTCTGGGTACTCTTCTTGGCTAACATATCAACTTTATCATGAAGGAGTAATCCAATGTGTGATGGGATCCATAGCAATTGTACATTAATTCCTTTGTCCCTAATTTTTGAGTATCTATACCTGGCTTCTCCAATGAGCATGTTGTTGGAGTCATTATATGAGTCAAGAGCCTTCAATGATGACATAGAATCAGTAATGATGATAGAGTCAAGCTCAGTGTCATAGGTTAGCTTTAGCGCCATTAGGATTGCAAACAATTCAGTTTGCAGTGTAGACGCCCAGTTGTTAATTCTTATGCCTAACTCAAATTTATTATCGTTCTTAACTAGGGAGGTGGCAACAAGAGCAGATGCAGCCCTGCCAGAAGACTCCTGTTTAGATCCATCAGTGTATATAACTTGTGATAACTTATTACTACCAGCTAGGTGAGAAATTTCTTATTGAGCAGTTGCTCTAACCAAGAGATTTAAGGAAGGGATTACTAGCAATGAGCTTCTTGGGAGGGACTTGTAGGTATGTGATATTAAATGAACACATCTTCCATGGAGGGGTGAAATGCTCTTGTTGCCTACAGTGATACAGTTCATGCAGGTTATAAAACTTGATGCAATTGCACGTTTTCACAATCCATTTAGATCTGTGTGTATTTACCTCTAGACACTTGGTAAGATTCATTGTGACAGTGTCTGGTTCGTTTCTCAACATTCTAATACCGAGTACAGTGTTAATCTCAACAATCCTATCACTGATACTAGAAATACCAAGCTCCTTCCTCATGTTAAGAACTTTTGTAGACCTGGGACAGCCAAGAATAATCCTGAGAGCTTCATTTTGCATTAACTCCAAGGGTCGGAGAGAACTTTCTCTAGCTAATATCAACATGGGAGCAGCATAATCAATTAAGGACCTAACATAGGCTATGTACATCATTCTCACGATTCTCACATGAGTGTAAGTGTGAACCACCAGGTGGTTTACATGTAGTTAGTTGACGGGGTGTATCAGGGAGATAAGATGTTTTCTAACTGTAGTTTTGAAAGTGATGAATGTGTCTGCAGTTCTAGAGTTTTCAGGTAGGGTGTTCCAGATTTTAGACCCTTTGACACACATTGAATTTTTGTAAAGGTTTAGTCGGACACGGGGAATGTCATAGAGATGGTTGTGTCTGGTGTTATGCCTGTGGGTCCTGTCACAACTATCAAGAAAACGTTTTAGGTCAAGGTTAATATTGGAATTTAAGGTCCTGTAGATGTAGATTGCACAGTAGTAAGTGTAGATGTTCTGAACAGGGAGTAAGTTTTGATCTATGAAGAGTGGGGGGGGGAGGTTGCCAGGGATGGGATTTAGTGATTATTCAAATTCAAATTCAAAGTTTATTCTCTATAAGGATTACAATGCTGAGTTTACAGAATTTGGTTATTGTGTGGTTTACATGTAGTAAAATAATAATTACAGAGTTTACCACTAGAACACCTACCATGGCTAGGCATTTCGGGCAGACTTAGTTTAATTCTTAATTTTAAAATATTACAAATTATGAGGTAAGTTGGTATAATGGCTAAGTGACTAAATACTAGTTTGTGAGTTTAGCAATGTGAATGCTTTTGTTTTGGCACAATACATAGTTTCAGTATTGGAGTATCACAGGCCAACTTATGACTAGTTAGGATTCATTATTTTAAGATTGAGATTAATATTTCTGTTTATGGTCAAATGGGTGAGTGAGTGTAAGTGTGAACCACCAGGTGGTATTCGTGTAGTTAGTTGACGGGGTGTATCAGGGAGATAAGATGTTTTCTAATGGTAGTTTTGAAGGTGATGAATGTGTCTGCAGTTCTAGAGTTCTCAGGGAGGGTGTTCCAGATTTTAGGGCCTTTGACATACATTGAATTTTTGTAAAGGTTTAGTCGGACACGGGGTGTGGAAAATACTGTATATATTTTCCGGAAATACGGTAATTTATAGGTAAATAGATGCCCTATATTGCATTTTTAAAAGAAGTATGTTATCGAAAAAAAGTAGAGACACTCGCCATTTTGGTTTTGAATTTTGTACAAACGTTGGTATAATGGGAAGAATTTTTCGTGCTCTAGAGGTTAAAATTGTGTTGATGCCTCTCAAACAGGAGGCAAAATTGGTGGATGTGCATTCCTGCATAACTTGAGATATCAGACGACTGGACAAGACAGCTCCAGGAACCTCAGATAAGCTCTCTAGATTTGTGTGTAATTCTGGCCAGCATTATTTTCATAGATGTAGTCAGAGTGAGGTTTTCTGAGTATGATACACGTTAATCTCCAGTCAAATTGGTGAGTGATATTAAGATATATTTTCCTTCTGTTATGTAATTGTGTATATATATAACCATTTATTATTTTTAATATACAGTCCACAAATTTATATATTTGCCTGTATTCCTGGTGTATGTATATTTCATTTAATTAATAGGTCCAGAGCAACTTGTGGTTATGACAGTGGTAGGTATCAAAGGGGGACATTTTTTGCGACCTAGGTGTCCCAAATTCCTACTTGTCTATGTAACATTGATAAATAATAATAATCAATGTTCATTTACTGTTATGTATATAATAATACATCCAAGTAAATGCAATTTTCCACACGGGGAATGTCATAGAGATGTTTGTGTCTGGTGTTATGCTTGTGGGTTCTGTCACAACTATCAAGAATGCGTTTTAGGTCAAGGTTAATATTGGAATTTAAGGTCCTGAAGATGTAGATTGCACAGTAGTAAGTGTGGATGTATGAAAGGAGAAAGTTTAGTTAGAAGGTGGGGGGGGTGTGTTCCCGGGATGGGATTAGTGATTTTTTTACTGTGGCTTTTTGTTCGGTTTTATTGGCTTTAGGGGGTTTTGCTGCAGTTGTCCCCAAAGG